GTCCACCTATCTTAAAGTTGCTAAGATCGAGAAACACTGGTTAAGAGAATTGCAGCCTTGGGAAAATACACTGCTTCTTGCTCTTCATTTATCATTTCAAGTGTTTAGCCACCAGATCTGATTTCAACGTTTTTAGAAGGGAAGAACGTACTAAAAAGCCTTAATACCGTTATCCTAAATTTCACCCGTGCTGACTGGGAGTTGCCGTGCACCAGACTTGGGAAGACTGGCCCCAGACCATGTCAAGAGTTGCCCAGCCTCCAACTTCGCCTGGGCTATTAAACCTTGCGGTGGCTACTGCAGGCAAGACAGGAGCTACTCCTGGCTGAAACAGGGGCCCCTCTGGATCCCTGAAGGCTGTAAGCCATCTTGTCTGGCGCCTGCGCTCTTCTCCTTCCCTTTCCACTGTGATAGTATCAGTATTTGTGAAGACACGTGACAGCCGCCCAGCAGCGGCTTCTGCACGTTCAGCCTCTCCCGTCCTTGCCCCAGAGTTCTCCTGCAGCCCTTCCCTCGAAGTAACCCCTTCCCTCCTTAAGGAACCCCACTCACGGGCAAAAAGGAGATCGCAGGGAGTTGAACGTAGCAGAACAACCTTGGAAAGTCTGCTGAGAATTGACTGTGCTTGCTCATCACTAAGCTGTGACTGAAGTGGGGGAGGCAGTGGAGGTGCCAAAACTTGAACATTGCACGACCTGTGTAGCAAGATGGCTTGCGGGCCCTGCTGCAGTGTATAGAACTGTAAAGTTGTGTTAGTGACACAGAAGAGTTCTGTTCTGTTCTTGTCTTGCAGATGAGCAGGATGAGGAGACAATGACGACAGGAGGAAAGGTACCGAAACTCTTTTCCTCTGAAAATCACAGGGAGCTGCAAGGTTGTAGCCCAACTTTGGAAAGAGAGGCGCTTGACCTCAGTGAGGCTCGTGGGCCTTGTTGGGCTCTGGCTGTTGTCAAGGGCACCTGTGCCAATAAACCCCGCTGGCATTTTGCTCAGCTGCCAGAAGCAGCTGTCGCTAAAGAGAAGGTGAAGCCCCTCCCAGCTTCATGGGGGTTCCCAGGCGGCCGGCTTAGCCAGGCCTGGCTGGGTCTTTGGGAAACACCCAAGTCTCCGAGGAAGCCGATCCGTCAGGTGGGCTTGGCACAGGCAATTGAAATTGGGAAGGAGAAGGCATTTGCGGTTGTGGCTTCTCCTGGCTGCTGCAAAGCTATTGGCAAAAAAATGGAAGTTTCACAAACCTGGGCATTTCAAACACCTGATCTTCGGCACTAGACTCATTCAGTGAAAAGAACAAATATTGCCAGTAACCAACCACAGGGGAAGTTGAGAGCAAAGCATCAAGGAATCTTCTAGTAGACATTAGGTTCTCTCCTTTACACATAAGCACTTACTCCGTAGACAAACTTCTAGGTGTCCAGTTCTTTCCTCAAGAACACATGGCTTAAACGCTTACATCTCATGTGAGCACTTGGGTTGCATGTTACCCTAGTACCGTGGTTACTTCTTTGTAGGCGGGTGCGTTGACATCAGATCTTAGTTCATTTCCAAAGTAACTCTCGCTTCTTCCCGCAGGAAGATGAAGATCCCAACAAAGGTGACCAGGGCCGTTCCCTTGATACAGGAGAAGACAATGTCACAGAACAGACTAATCACATTATTATCCCCAGCTATGCATCCTGGTTCGACTACAATTGGTAAGGTCCACCATAGGGAAGAATGGGATCAGCCACCCGTTTCACTTTGTTTGGGTTCATGCCTTGTGTTAAGTCAGACCTAAAGCTAAGCTGTACAAATGCGGGTTGGTGCTGCGGGAGAGCCCATCCTGTTGTGGCTCCTGTGCAAACTTTGTCCCACGTGATTCACATTGCATTTTTTAGTGTGTTTTATTGTAAACTGCCCAGAGAACTTCAGCTGTTGCGTGATTTAAACAAACAAAATGTTGCAGCCACATTTTCTGAAGCTTAATCTTGAAATTAAGTCCTAACTTTCATTTAATCTCACCATGGCTTCCCCCTCGTGGAAATGTATGAGGCTTATCTACAAATAGTAAATTCAGCTAAAGTTAATGCATAGTGATGTTACTTTATATCTCTGTAGGATGTGTTACAATCAGCCTAGGGCTAATTCACTGTAAGGCACAGAATGGTTGGCTTCCTTTGGCTTGGCATGTTGCTTGAGTCCAGCCATTGTGGTTTGTAAACTGGTTTAGCATGTGTGAATCTAACCAATTGCATCTATCAACAAATCATAGTTAGGCAACCCAGGATTAAGCATGGTACATGAATCCAGTCTTTATTTTGCTCACAGACTGGCTTGTGAGTGCCACCCCTTTGTAACTAGAGGAAGTTTGTCACCTGTATGATTGAAGCTAGTGAAGAAATCTATTTTGGAGTGAATATAGGTGTTTCTAACTGATCCAGCATTAGACCTACTGTAACTTTTCGCACAGCAAGGTGGAACTCCTGTTCTGTGCTCTCTGCATCCTTTTCTACTTCCCTCTCTTACTGCTTTGGCTTTTCTAAACGAGCAGTCTGTGTGTGGCAAGGTCTCTTTCTTCCTGAGAACGGCCCAAATGCATCAGTGCTCTGTGTGGTGTTGACTTTGGCATCTCTGTTTCTGCCACTGTTCATTTTCTTTGATTAATCAACTACCAAGGTTGGCTTGTTGAAGATCAGTGCAGTTTGCCATTGCCTGCAGAAGAGGCTGTCTGACTCATGGGATTGCTACGATTGTGGTGGGATTTTGTTCTCAATATTGATTCTTGAGTAGAACCGCAAACGGCAGGCTGAGCACTCTTGGTGAATTTTGACCAGCCCTTCTGCTGCTTCTGGCCTGTGGGACGTGTCTTCCTCCCACAGTTTTAGAGGGGTGAATAAAATGAGGTTGGTGAAGAAGAGTACTCTGATGTATGTACATGCAGTTTCTCTAATAGCTGTCTGGGGGGAATAATGTCGTATCCGAAGAGTATTTAAGCACTTGCAACTCAGCTAGACAGGGCCCTCAGATGGAATGTAGATTGGCCAAGGGTGATTGGTGCTCTGAGACCTGAAGCATTTTGCCACCAAAAAGCGGAAGGAATTTTTATATCTGCATCTGTCTGCCCACTTCCCTTCAGTGGTGCATTATTTAAGTGTTAAGTAATACGTTTCAGCAAGACAGACCCAACAGGCCAGATTTAACTTCTCTTTTCTTCATCCAGGCAGAGCATATTGTTCTTTCTTGCCAACTCAATGGTTAACTATTATTAACTGTGTTTTTTTTCAGTGTTCTGCTTTCTGCAATATAGAGACTTGGGTTTTTTTAATTCAAAACAATGTTGAGTTGATTGTTTTTCTGCCAAACTCATAAATTACTACGTAAAACACTAGCACTCATAAAAAGCAGCTTCACAAATAAATTTAAGCAGCCCCAGTCTTAATGAAATTAAGACCTGTAGTTTTAGAATTCAGACCCAAATCAGATGAATATCAAAATGTGGATATCCTATTCCATCCCCCTCATCCATTGCTGTGGCCACTAGAAATCTGACACTTTTCTTCCAAGTTCAGTAAATCACATTTTAGTGTGTTGCATGGATCATAAACTATCATTAATATTTAATGGCTTGTTTAAAGAAGCCTCTTCATCAACTACGTGTGGCTGTGTGTTATTACCTGTTTTGTGCTTTATTATTTCTACGGTTGTTTTAATCCTAACAATAAGCTGCTTAGAGTTACTCTAGTTATTGACCTGGTGGACCAATTAGGGAAGGGCAGCGGAGGGGAGTTTATCATTTAAGGAAACACAGTGAAAATAGAAGTGAGGCCCTTTTCCTTGCAGGAAGAGAAGGAGGGGAACGTGGGCTCAGGTTCCCATCGCTGGAAACTTGGGTGTAGCGCTGGGCTGTTGAACCTAGATAAAGCAGCAGTTTGGTTTAGAGGGCAAATCCAGGAATCATATGCTTATATTAAGATTATGTCATATTAACCAACTTACTATTTAAAATAAATGTAATACTGATAATTTTTTTTTAAAAAATGAAAGCCACCATTTGGACCCAAGTGTGAAAGACGCTATTGACTGGTTCCTATGGGACCTGGCCAGAGTTTCAGGGTCACCCAACAAAAGACATGGGCCAGAGATCCAGGACAAGGAAGAGGAAGCAGTGAGTGCACAGCTGATTTGGGAAAGTTGGTTTTAAAAGGGTCTCTCATCTGAGCACCAACCCCTTTCATCTGGCAGGACATTGATTTGATCAATTTTTATGGCTGCCCACCTGCTAACAAGAGTAGAAAACATCAAGTACAAAGGAAAATGAGCCAATAATAAAACGTAACTTAACAAATATACCTCCTTGGGGGAATTTAGAGTAGAACTGGAGAAGAACTAGAGCTTCAGGGTCATCTTAAAGGCTGGCAGGGTCAGAACTAAAGAAAGTGAGGAGAAGTTTTTCCATAGAGCAGGAACTGCAGCAAATGCTGTTTCTGTGTTGAACTTGTATAAAAAAAATGGCAGCTGTGATCCCTCCAGCCAGAACATTCCTGGCATGGGGGCTTTGGCGCTCGGTCCCTGCTCGGGCAGCCCCTGCTTCTCTAAGCCTTGGTGGGTCGGGGGGGACCCTTTTGTGGAAGGAAAGTAAAAGGCATTTAAAGGCCATTGAATCTGTATTAACAGTAGCCCCTCGGGAGCTGTCTGTAGAAGAAAACATATTGACAATTATTTCTAGCCAAGTCATTGATCAAAATGCTAGCTTGGGTTTTTTAATTATTATTATTATTCTCTGAAGGAGAAAAGCCATTGCATAATTCAGCTGATGGCGGAATGATTCTGTCAAAAACATTGTGAATTGTGGCATACTGCAGATAAGTCAAAAGTGCTTAGTGAATTTGGGAACTGAGCTGAAGGATCAAAATCCCTAATTCTTACAGAGTGAATGTATAAATAATTAGTCCTGTTCCTTGTTTTAAGATAATGTTTTATTATTTATTTTTGGAATAGCAAGTGAATTCTTACCCTTTTGATTGACATGGCATTTTTTCCACTCTTAATTGTTTGTGCCTATTGGTAGAGAATGGAATTTTTTCCTCCAAGGCACAGAATGTAATGATACTTTTAATTTATTTATAATTATTATTATATGCAAGAAGGAAGGGAGGAGAATGCCCACAAAAACATACACGTCTTGCACACTAAACAAAATTGTTCCTACCTATATGCTTATGCCATAATGTACAATTACATTATTAACCTTTAAGTTAGTCTGCCTAGCTTTCTGTAAATAACTAAAGGCTGTGAAATTTCAATGAGCCTTCAGCTCCAGTTGACTGACAGGTGATGCCTACTTTAAATATGAACCTGAAGACCTAATGTGCTGATTTTAGAATTTGGGTTTTTGTCACCCTGAGTACTTTGAGGTTGGAGCAGTTAAAAAATCAGTGAATGAATAAACAAAAAGAAAATGGGAATTAAGCTCTCCTCATTTCTAAATAGCCCTCCAGATAAGATTTCCAGCAGTCAAATGCTCATTCAAGTATAGGAAGAAACAGATTCCTCAGTCTGTTGGGTAATTGATGGAGAAGGACTGTCCTTCCAGCCTGATGGGATCCATCTTTTTGCCAAGCATATCCAATTCTCTTGTCCTCCAGCTGGTTTCCAAGCTACTCGTATGTAATTTTAAAGAAACCTGAGCATTAGACCCACAAAATTAATGTGTGAAATAACTTCTAAGGGAGGGAACTATTGTAGCACATGATCACACCATTTGAACTAGTATTGTATTTCAAGTACCACATCTCAGGTATCAAGCAATTAGCTGAACTCACCAGTTTCTTTCTGAAAAGAGGAACGGGTATCCACTAGACGCAAAATTATACCTTTTGTGGAATTAAATCTCATTTTAAATCTTAGCCAGTGGACATACAAAAATTTCCAATGGTTTTCTACTGAAATTTGTGCATTCTTTCATTTCCTCATTTCCTTTCTGCACTTTTAGATATCTAATTTAATGTACTTTAACAATAATGTATAAATAGGTGTTATATGTTTATTATTATAATACAATGAACACATTAAATTTTCTGGTGTTGGAGGGGCTTTAATCTAGAGATTATTTTAACCACAGAACTTGCCACTGTGGTGTGACACCTCTTAGTGGCCAAATCTGTAACTTCAGTTAACAGTGTGAAGCGGCTTTTATATAAAGAGCTGTGATGTCCAGTGGCTAGTTGGCTTAATCAGGCTGTGTGGGGGACAGTGGCTGGATTCGAATACTTCATTAAATCATAATGTGGGTTGTTTGCTTCTGGCTCAGCGCATTGCTGTGGCCCATTATTGTGGCTTTTTCAGCAGGCTAGCATTTAACAAAAGTGAACCATGGCTTAATACAGAGCCAGCCAGGAATTTGCAAGGAAATCTTGCAGGTCATAGCGAGTCCTTCAGACCTGGACTCAGGGAAGTTGGACACTGACCTGATTCTCTTTCTTTCTTACAGCATTCATGTAATTGAACGCCGTGCTCTTCCAGAATTCTTCAACGGGAAAAACAAATCTAAGACCCCAGAAATGTAAGTAGAGCCAAGCGAGGTGCATGGAGGGAGCGGGGAATCTCTCTAGTTTGATGCCCTTGGTCGATCCAGGACTGGGGATGGAGGAGGGCAGGTCCCAGTTTCCAGTACCTTCCCCTTGTATCCCGGCACATGCTGATTTCTTCTAGCATAAGCATTTCCGCAGTATTCTGCCTGCACAGCTGTTTTGCTTGCCACAAGCCTCAAGTCAGACGTTCAAATCTGCTTCTCAGCATAGGTGCAAATGGTGATCAGAGACTATGATTAGTGAAAATGAGATGTAATTGCAGCTATCGCTAGTCCAGAGCCTAAAAACCACGAACAGGAGAAGAGCAGTTGGATTGTGGCACAGTTTGTGTGCTGGGGAGTGGACAGTGTTCTCGGTCCACCCACCTTGTGCTTCCAGGAGCCTTGAAAGGAAATTAGCAGTCCACCCTTTCATGCCAGTGAGGAGAGAAGGTCCTTTCTCCATGGCTACAATAGAATCTGTCCCTTTTTTTCAAGAAAACAATTTAGCAAGCAAGTTTGGGGGGAAGGACAAAACAGTCATCCTCCCCCCCCCCCAGGCTGGCCCTTTTGCCTTTGTAGAATTCCAGGTCCCCTGCAGTGACCAGGCAAGGTCACTGAGGCTCACCTTGGCACCTTCAGCTTCCGTGTCCGAACAGCCACCCCCGTCTCACTCCAAAAGCTGGTTTGCTTAAAAGCACACAGACCTGACAGGGTGCAAATATTCTTATTCAGCCATTTAGGAATAAGCATAAGGAAGAGTAACTGGGTGAACATCGTAAGGACAGTGTGAAGGAAGGTCCATTCCTTGGCATTTTAATGGTGGGCTTAACATTTGTGTCAAATTGTACTTGAGGTGTATTGTATAAGCACAAAACACTCGCCTGAACAGACCTTAACACTTCTGGAACGACTGTTTTGTGCAGTTAAATAGTGTTAGGCTCGAGTAAGGTTATTCATTGGTTGTGAGAAATTCGGTCACTGCCGTTTGCTGTACCCGTAGATCTGCTGGAGGAAGCTCAGTTATGGAGACTTGGTGGCCTAACAGCAATAAAACATTACTTAACATTTGATATATTCTAAAACCGTGTTTGTCATCATGCATTTCTCCCAGGAGCTACCCATTGTTATATAGTGCTGCCCCTGCTGCTAAATATCCTGTTCAGTTATTTCACTTTGTCCTTTAAACAGCAGTGAACAGACTGTGGGCCTGACCGAGTTAAATGTTAAAACATGTTAGTTAAGTCTCAGCAAAGCATCTTTTTTCTTAGAGAAATATTTGCAGGCAAAATAACATTTGGCTGACAAATTGTATGATAAGCATTTTGAATTTCTGCTTGCAGCTCATAAATGTGGTTTAAACTAGAAGAGTTGCAAGTTTCTTTTTTAATCCTGCTGGGTTATATTCTTGCACAGTAGAATTTGATTTGGTATCTCCAGCAAGTGGTACTCAATTCCTGACATGGCAAAGCTAGTTAAGAATCTTTATTACATATGAGGATGCTGCTGCTTTAAACGGTTGATGGCCTCTGTTAACTTGAGATGACAGCACTACGTACACCCTGGAGACATGACTAGCATTTCTTTTTTCCACCTTTCCCATGATTTCACAATTACTTTGTCTTGCACTTTCAGCCTTGCAACTGGGTGACGGGTGGTTGTTGACATCCCTGACATTTCGGCCCTGAGGAGCCCTGGCTCCCAGCCCACCTCCCACCATGGCCATTAGCATGCTTTAGTGGATAAAATGTCAGGCTGAAGTTTTCAGCAAGACTTAAGGAATAACTTGTTAAAAAGTTGTACAAGATCAAAAAAAACCTAATCTCCATTCGGCAAGAGTTAACATGCTGCAAGGGTGAAGAAATTTCAGAGAGCATTTGCGGGTAAAGACTTTCTACTAAAGGTTGCAAAACCCCCAAGTATAGATTAAGCTCCTTTTTTATTGTTGTGCCTATAAATAGCAGCGTATAAAGAATTAATATGCCTGTGATCTGTATGCAGCCCTAAATTTAGGGGTGTCTGTTTAGGAAACTATTCCCTGTACTGATGGATAGACATGACATGCCTTTTGCAGCAGGGGAGCTGCCAGGGAGGTGGGAAAAGCCGCCTCTGCCCTCCCCTTCAGATTCCTTCCATTGCTAATTTTATTTGCAAACTGAGTAGACTTCTGCCCTCAGCTCGGTATTTCTGATTAGGCAGTTGTGTTGGTGCTCCAGATGTTCACTTCAGTGTCAGATTCCCTTCTCTCCAAATAAGACTTTAGATTTTTTTTTTTTTAAGTTGCCTGGCTTAAGCTCCAGGGGCAACTGGCACTCCTTATTATGCCTCAGGCTGTAGACCGTTGGCTGTTAGCCAACGTTATTGGCTGAGATGCTGTTTAAAACTAGTAGTATGGAAGAAGAAGCTGCCTCCACAGAAGACAGCGCCTGCGGGTTTTCTGCCAGGCTTGTGTACAAAAGGAATGATAAACATTCTGTTGTGCTTAAAGAGGAGTCTTTGGAGACGGAAGAGTTGTTGAGGAAAACAGCGAGATACACAGTTCACCTGGGCATTTCTC